TGGCTCAATTGGTATCATATAAATATCAAAAGCAGAGTAGCAGGAATTGTTTTTTTATGGTGGCAAACAGGCAGGAAGATTATTTGTTGTTATTATTATTATTATTTTAAATAAGGCTAAGATTAGTTTTCTTTATCAGTTTTCTAAAATGATTTTAGATTAAGATTTTTTACTGCTGAACAGTTATTGTATCTTTTGGTCGGCTAAATTAAGCAGTAGACTGTTCGTTAAATTGTGCTGATTGACTGTCTCTGTTTGTGCTCAAAATTCGTTTATTATTACTAATATCATCATCATCATTTTCATCACCACTGCATTTCAGATTCGTTGAATACAGACCAAAAAAATTTTCTTGATTGGTGTATTGTTCGTACGGGATTTTGTTTTCCTAAAAGTGAAGTGTAGTTGCTGAAAATGAACAGATAATGAAAGATTGGATTTTTTTTCTTACTCTTTGATACGGTCGTTAGTGGGAGGTTGGCAATTATTGGTGCTAAATAAAGGAGCTAAAGACATACCGGGCAGTGGTAGTTAGATGCGTTTTTTGCAAGCGTTTATCTTAGCAGTAGAGCAATCGAATAGCAATTTATGGAAAATATTTGTGAAAAAAAAAAGAGACGTTTTTTAGATATTTTTGTTACTTTGCCGTTTTTCTCTTTCTTTTTATTGTTTGATTGTTGGTCTTCTTTCTTCAAGAGATCGTAAAGTTCCTTCCTTTGTATCGTTGAAAGGATTTTTTAATTTTTATCCTTTTTGGTCATGGCTATTTGGGGAAGAGAAAAAGGTGGGAAAAATTCTACTGCTGTTTACCGTTGCAGGTAGGCTTTTTTTTGTTGTTGTTGTTGATGGTGGTGTTAGTTTTAGTGACGAATAGACAGACGACTTTTAAACAGCACAACCGTTTTGGTTAGAGCTGTATCTAGACTGAAAGCAGAAGGAAAATAAGAGTTTTATCTGAATAGAGAACTGTATTACTTTTGGTGATCTCTTCTGTATCATCACCAATTGGTGGAACGGCCCAACAGTGCTGCCCCCCTCTAAGCACTGAAACACACAGTGAGATTTCTGCTTTGTTGGTCTTCTAAAACTTGTCCTTAACTTTCATATTGTTCTTCAGTTCGGAGGAGAACTATTAGAGGAGAAGAAGAAATGACAGAAATGTTTGTGATAAATTTTACACCAAACCTTAAAGTAAATATTATTTTTCTTATTATTATGTTACTATTATTACCATTACTATTATTATTAATATTGTTATTATTATTATTATTTATTACCACTTCTACTACTATTATTATTATTTTTACTATTTTTGTTTGTTTACTTTGATTGGACAGATTTTGGACTCTAGAAACTACAATTTTTTGCTTGCTTGAAAGACGGTACTTTAAAAGAATTGTAAAAATACCCATTTTTTGTCATTTTACAACTTTTAAGTTTTATTGATAATCTTACCATAAAAGAAGTACATTTGTATCTTCTTTACAGTTTACTAATTGCTGAGTAGTTTTGACAGAACGGTTTGCTAATTTCAGGCCAGTCTGAGTAAGCAGTCAAAATCTTCAGTTGTACTACCGCTTACAAGTAGTCTTGTTCACGTCGATAAAACCTCCGTCTCACCTGAGGTTCTTTTCAATTACAAATTTTTTCAAAGTCTTATGTCTGAACACATTAGTTGCTGCATTTGTACTAACTTCATTGCCGTCATTTGGCTGAATTTATACGTCTCCAGCCATTCATTTTCTTGCTTTTTTTGTTGAACTGTTCTTTTGTTTAGCAAATTCTTGATTGGTATCCAGACCAGCAGTCTTTGGTACAACAATGACATGTTGTTTACTACAGACTGTTTTTAACTTTTAGAGCCGCTTTCTTTGGTTGTGAATGGTTGTGATGAAGATTACTTTTGTCGTTCAAAGATCTTTGTTATTTTCTTGAGAACATCCTTGTCAAACTGAATAAGTGCTGTTTTTTAACCAGAAACACTGGGTTAAAGTCACAGAAAAAAATTTTTTTCTTGATGACCTTTGAGCAGTAAGTTTCGTCGTTCTTTTAGTGGAGTAAATTTAAAAAAGAGCCGTTTTAGACTGTTTGAGTATGTTGTCTTTTCAGACTGGAAGAGAAAAATCAGCGTCAAAAGAATCTAGCAAAGAGCAGAAATTAGTTCAGCTGGGTA